GTGACAAGGCAGAACAGGAAGGGGGAGCAAGAACAAGGCAGGAGTGGGGACAGCCCAGGGAGTGTCTAGCAAACTAGGCATAGTAGATGTGGGCCCTTTGACTGAAGAATGCAGCCTAGTGCATACTAGTACAAGGGGTCAGGGAGCAGTGGGCAGGGTCTGAGTTAGGAGGCTAGTCCAGAGATCTGAGGTGGGAAGAGCAGGAATAGGCCTTGACTCAAGGCAAGAAGGGGGACAGAGTGTGGACAGGAAGTGGAACTGCCCATAGTACAGGGGAATCAAGGTGTAGTGGGTGGGCTTTGCCTTACCAGAGTAGTAGGTAAGTCTGTGAAAGGCAGATTCAGACTCTAGGGGAAAGGCAGGGATGGGAACAGCCTGTGGAGGGTCTAACAAACTAGGCTTGAGAATGCAGCTAGTCTGGGTTCATGGGATCAGGGTGCAGTGGCTGGGTCTGCGTTAGGAAGCTGGTCCAAAGATCTGAAGAGGAAGATCAGGAGCAGGCCTAGGACCAAGGCTGGAGGTGGGACAGAGTTACATGCTTACTGTTTTAACTATTCCTAATTTACTTGTATATGCAAAGATACATGAAGGAAATATATGGTCTATCAAATGTGTATGAACTTTCAATTATTTTATTGAATTATTTGAATTTCATACAATATATTTCAATCATATTTACATTCACAAATATAGATCTTATATTAAGCCAAATAGATCTTATTTTATTCCAAATATCATATAAGCACAGTTTCTGATATAATTTCTGTTAAAATATCAGCATAAAATTTACCCTTAAAAATGCCACATAGATAGGAAATTATTGTGTTAAATAACTTGAATTAAAAGGAAATTAAAAGGAGACTAGAGTGATGGCTCAGCAGTTAAGAGCACTGGCTGCTCTTCAAGAGGACTGAATTTCTTAAGAGTCCATATGCATAGCTAAAGACTACATAACAATCAACAATGCCAGACAGGCTATACCTTCTTTTGAGTTGTTGGTCAGGGTGGCCAAAGGGACTCCCAGATAGTAACCCAGCATAGAACTCGGAAAAAGAACAGCAGACCCCAATCTTATCCAAAGTAGTATAGACAACTGATTACTGCTTGATGAAGAACAGCTAACCCTCCTTAAACAAAGACCTCTAGATAGGCTGACTAGATTCACCAGAAGGGCAAGTAGTGGGGAATGGCTGGGGGTGCTGACAACACAGCAGACAGTAGCAGGGATATCAGAGTATAAGGGCTCTAGTGGGGGGAGGGAGGCTATGGGAGAGTGCCATCTGGGAACTGGGTGTATAGTCGAATAACATGGTTTGGGATGTTCTGTGAGATAAACACACACACACACGCACACACAAATAAATAAATAAATAAATAAATAAATAAATAAATAAATAAAAGTTCAGTATAACTCAGTATTACTATATTAATTCAACTGTGAACCTAGAAACTTGAACCCACTTGTGAAAGAGATGTACTGTTGCTCTGGAGTGTGTTACTGAATATGTTGAAGCTGTAGTGAAAAGCTTCTAATCATGTAGTTATTAAAAATTTAAAAACTATATGATTAAAAAATAATAATTCTTCAAAGCATAAAAATTTGCTCCTTAATAATTAGTATGTGTGAAAAACATTATCATTAAAATCTACCTGATGACTCTATATCCATGCTCAGATGCCAAGGAGCTCAGAAAGTAACCGATTGTGACTAGTAATAATCTGATATATAGAGATTAGAACTGCATATTCCAACATCTTAATGTCAATTGCATTAAAAATGAATTTTTCTGCATAATAATGAAATGGAGATCTTTTTTAAAGTTTAAAACCTCATTTAATTTTATGTCTCATAGGATTTATATTGAGTACAATATTGTATAACTGTAATAATTCAACTGTAAACCTAAAAATGTACAGCCAATTTTGAAAGAGATGCATCCTAGCTCAGAAAATTGTTATTGAATATGTCAATGCTGATGTAATGAAATGCTTCTTCTAAGTATGTGGTTATTAAATAAATAATTTTTAAAAAAAAGAGCAATGAAATCAACAACAAAAACAAATTAGAAGAATAAAAAGAAAGCAAATAAATAATTCCTAAAGGTATGTGCTACTGGTTAATAATCCTTTAACACTTTTGAAAAGATGTAGAGCAGGTGTGGTGGCACACGCCTTTAATCCCAGCACTCAGGATGCAGAGGCAGGCAGATCTCTGTGAGATCAAGGTCAGCCTGGTCTACAAATCAAGTTACAGGCCAGCTGGGGCTACAGGGAGACCCTGTCTCCAAAAGACGAAATAATAGTACTATTTCTAAAAACATGTTCTTGTAACCAAATTAGTACTAAATTTCTTTTTTTTTTAACTTAAAAAGAACTTTATTGAGAATTTAATAATGCATATAAGGTGTTTTGATCAAATCCATGCCCACTCTCTCCCTTTCAACATCGTCCATGTTTCCCCATCACTTTTTCTGACTTCGTTTTCTCTTCCTTCCTTCCTTCCTTCCTTCCTTCCTTCCTTCCTTCCTTCCTTCCTTCCTTCCTCCCTCCCTCCCTCCCTCCCTCCCTCCCTTCCTTTCTTTTTTAAAAGGGCTTTTTGCTACTCTTAACATTACCCTTCTGAAGAGGTAACCCTAAAATCTTTTAGGGATTAGATAAGAGCTCCCAAATACTTTTGACATTTTTGCCCTTTGGAACAGAGTATGTTGCTCAGAGGCCCAAGGACATTTTGACTTTTAGCCAAGAAACTGGCTACTTTTCTTTGAGGTCTTTTTTACCCTAACTGCTTGGCCATTTCCTACCTCCTGTTCTTATCACACCATCCTCTGAAGAGGTTACCCAAATTGCTGATAGGGAATCGGGACACAGACCACTCTGGCTTCTTCCATGATGAACAGGGATGCAGGGTGAGGTGCTTGGGGTGCCCCTTATATCTAAAAGACTATTAAATTGCATAACTCTTATCTGTAGGAAGAAAAGAAAGTCCTTGTCTGGTGAATAGGGGATGTGAAGGAGAAGTAAAGGCAAGAGTAGTTAGCATTACAAGTTCTAGACAGAGAACCAGAAAAAAATCAGAACAGGGCAAATTTCAAATGTTCATAACAGAGTCCATTGGGATTTCTTGACGAGAGCTTCCGAAAGCATCCCTCTATTGGGTTCCTCCTCATTTTTCTTTTATCTTCCAAGGCTGGACTCAAGCGTGATTGATTCAGAATTTGCTTTCAGGTATTTTGATAGCTGTTGGAGTGGTTACAATCAGTGTCAGTTCCCTTCAAAGGCTCCTAGATAGGGAGAGAAAACAAAGTTCCAGGGACTCTGGAACATCTCTCAAAATGTCCTGTGACTGTGGTAAGGTACATGTCCTCTTGTTCAGGGAGGCCATGGAGACCCCATGAGATGGACTTGAACCAGTGTCAAGTCTACAAAGAGGAGGGTCAGCTAAGAGGAAACTTCTCATCCATACTTCCAAGTGAAGCCAGACATGGTTGAGCAGGACCTTTGACTTATCTTCACATAGATGGAACTGGCAAAAGAAAGGAGCCAGGGACTCCACCCAAGCCCATGTGACCCCTGAGGAACAGATCCTCAAATGACCTTAAGTGTAAAAATAAACTGATTTATTTGGATCAACTGTATGGTTTTAAACACTCAAAAGGAAAGTATAAATAAAGAGTAAAGTCATCAGTATATTTCTTTAAGAGTTCAAGGGATTACACATACCAGACATTAGGCTTAAGTCTATATAAAAAGTTATTTTGACAATTATTTCTTATTGATGATTTTGTTCCTAATCATAATGTGCTGCTCAGATGTAAGACTTCAAATCTTGGTCTGCAATACTGTAGTGCCCACTTGTAGCTAAGGGAGATAACCCTCTATTCTAAAATGATGGAGAAATGTGTTTCCTCCCCCTATCTAGTACTAAATTTCTAACCTTGAATGATATTTTTTGAGATTGGAATAGGATATTTATTCACTATTAAAATATTAGTACACTATTCTGCAGCATATTTATCAGCCTTATGCAAGAATTTACCACCCCCCCACTGGAATTTCTCTTGACATAATTTAATCTGTCTTCTCTGTGATCTGTCCATCCAGGTTATTCAGTTCCTGCGGTGTCCTCTGCTTCTTCTATACACGTGCTGTTTTCTCACCCCAAATTTCCCTTGCTGTTTCCACCTAACTCCTAAGCTTATTTAGATTTCAGTCTAAACCATCATCTCCTTTGTGAAACCTCTACTCTCTGGACCGTCAGGCCAGTTGCTCAATACTTTTAAGGTATTTTTAACAACAATGTATGTAAGATATTGTTTACTATTTATCCACTATAATATAGTACCAATATATTGATACCTTATTAAATTCTATATTTTCAACAACTAGCAGAGATAAGTGTTCAAAAAATACTGGATAAAAGTAGAGTAGTCATGGTTCACAATGCTCATTTTATGTTTATTTTACATAGTGGAAAATTTAGACCAAGCTAAATATAAACGGCATGATAAAAATAGGTATTTATAATACAGCTGCAAGATGGCCTATTCTGCATCCTCACATGTGATGATCATAAAACATGGGAAATGGATCAGTTCTACTGCTAATTGTAGAGACAGTATAGTTATTCATATAGTATAATTTCTAATGAACTAATCTGATAAATTTGGCTGAAACTGGTTAGTGGCATTAGATGCTTTACATGCAATAACTGGTGGTTAATGGTTTTTCTGGAAATGTGTGGGATTTGTAGCAGAGTCAAGACACTTATTGAGCCACTGAATTTGAATGAAGGATTCAAATCCCACCAAAAAGTGAGAACAGCTGAGGCACAGTCACGACATTCACAGGAGACTTGAAAGATGTCTAATAATTCAGCTAAAAATCACCATAAGAACATAGTACAAACAAAAAAGGTCTTTAAAGATTTCCTCACTGGATTATTCCAGATCATCCATTCCTCAGCCAGACTCCCAGGTAGTTCTGAGATCATTTGCTCTCTCTCAGCACGTTAATTGCTGCTGTACCCTCACAGAGGCTTGCTTCTGCTGGCTCTTTGTTAGAATTAGCATAAGTGAGTGCGAACAAGGGTACATGGATGCAGTTGTGAAACCGAGATTAAATAGCAGCTTGTTTTCTGTGATAAACAAGCACAATGTTTCTATGAAAACACATATGAAATATAAGAGGTTGATAAAAGATATTAGAACCTTCATGGCTTTCACGTGAACTTCCTTGTTGATGTCTCTGAATCCTGATATATTCAACTGCATCCATCTGTTGTGTCTCCAAAGGAAAATGATTAGCAGGAAACATGCAACCAGGACCATCATAAAGAGAGAACTGACTCCCATATTGTCAAGAACATAGTTAAAAAGTACCTCACTTTTCTCCAGGTGGATTTTCCAGGATGTGTGTCTATGATGCAATCTAAGATTAACATCTTTAATCACTTTCACAGCTATTGGAAAAGAAATTAACCATGTTATAAATACCCCATCAAAAAGACAAAAAGCCTTATCAATTCTTCTCTTCAACCAGAGAAATATATAGTGGGAAAAACTGGCTGTTTTTAAGAAATACAAGATGTTGAGGCTGGTGGCAAACCAGACACTCAGGCAGTTAAAAATTACCCATATGTGACTGGAGCACTCAATTAGATTGCCAGAGATCAGCATATATGGAAATAATATTTTTGTGTATACACCTAAAGTTATTATCCACATGAGAAAAATCCTGGAGATCACCAAGCCAGTGAGCACAATGCCAACCATAGAGAATTTCTTATTCTTGAAACAGTCAGTGTAGTTCACAAAGCCAATAAATCCATTCCCTAAAACCCCCAGCACTGACTCAGTCATTGCAGTGAACAAGAGGATGCCTTCTGCTATACTCAGAATGTCTGCTGATCCCTAAAGTTGCTCCTGCTGCAAGAACTGTGTATTATGGGCAGCAGAATGTCGCATAGAGCGGCTTCTTGACATGGAAGTGATTTTTATCTTCCTTCCTTAAATAAGTACATCAAGGTGACTCAGGAATCTGCTAATGAAAAAGATCTCCATAGAGTTCTTTCCTGTTGCTGCTCTAAGCTTGACTGTGGAATGTATGCAAACAAAATGCCTTTTTGCAATTTGTTAATAAGCAAATGGCAGTTTCAGTTTCATGGATTTTATTGTCCCTCTGAGACTATTTTGCATTTAATATGCTGTGTTGTGGAATAGGAATGATACATATACATATATACATATATATATCTCCACATACACACACATATATAGAGAGAGACATATATACACACACACACACATATATATATATAGAGAGAGAGAATACAAAACACAAAAATCAACATAACACTTCATCTTTTATATATGAAATGGAGACAGGAGTTAGCTCTTTGTGTGAAGCAAGGGAGGGTCCACGGTGAATTATGAGCTAGCTACTTAGAGAATAAGAAAGGGAGTGGACCAATAGCCCACAAAATGAGTAAAGCAGGTTGAGGGAGAGAATGGGCAAAAATGACCACTCCCTTGAATGAAGGAGCAAGGCATGAGCACCACTCCACTTGGACTGAGGAGAAATGTAAAAAAAGTGTGGGCTCCTCACAGGTTTGGTTCTTGATGCATTCAGTAACGATCCAGCTCAATAAAGATTACTTCTGTCTGTAACCAGTTCCTGCCATTAGTGTCATGAAAGGCTATTGGGCAGGGCAGTATGGCTGTATCCCTCTGGGGACAAGCCCTCCCATTCAAGAATTTTCCTCACTTTCTTCATAAATCTGCTTTGCTCTGTTCACTCCCTGCCTATCTTTCCTTACTCTTCTTGGTATGGCTTAAAGAACCCCAAAGCCAGTGGCTCAAGAAAGCTTTATGACCATGATTGTCTAGTACCATAGCTCCATGGCCTAAACTCACAAGAGTAAAGGGAGACTCCATTTGACTCAAAGAAACCATATAATTTGGATGTATGATGGAGATGTGAGGGGTGAGTGGAGCAGGTCCGATTCACCTCCTGCAGTCTTTCTGTTATGCCCTGTTCCTCCTCTGCCTAAGGTTCTGCTGTTTTGAGTGCAAACTTTCAAAACTTCACAGTTTTAATAATGGTCACTTCTATACTCTTTCTCAACCTAAAATATTTTTAAAATGTTTTATCTATTATTTTATGTGTATGAGTGTTTTGACTGCATATATGTAAGTACACTCTTGTCATGTGATGCCCATGGAGGACAGAAGAGAGCATTAGTCTTCTTGTAAATGGAGTTATGGATGGTTGTCAGCCACCATATGGGTGCTGGGAATCAAACCTAGGTTGTCTGCAAGAGCAGCCAGTGCTCTTAACTGCTGAGCTATCTCTCTACCCCCTCAGAAAAAGCACTCTGCCTGTCTGCTAAAGACACCTGCTGTAAACTTGTTCTATATGCTTTCTTTGACATCAATAGCCTTAGGTAAAAGAATTCATTCCTCTTCAAAGCAGTTCCTTTTTAGCAGTCTGCTTTGTAGTCTCCTCAGTACTGTACTGCTAGCTAGACTTCCTCCTTGTGAGACTCTGATCTCTTGTTTTTAATTTTAGATACTCTCTAGACTGAGAAAGTGTTTATTTAACTCCAAATTCCAAGTTACAGTTCATTATGGTGGGGAAGTAAAGGAATCAGGAGCTTGAAGCAGCTGGTCCCATTATATCTGCAGACAGAAGAGATCAATTTTGGGCCAGAAAACTGGCTCAGTGGGTAAAGGTAGTTTCTGAGAGACACACACCATGTAAGGAAAGTACCATCTCATGCAGGCTGTCTTCTGATCTTCACATGTGTGCTATGGCATACACATGTATACACACATGCATACACAAATAAATGTATGTAAAAAGATCTGTCAAAAATGAGAGAGCATGCATGCCTTCTGTTCCCCAGCTTCTTCTCTATACTCATATACTCTAGGATCCCCAAGCCCAAGGAAAGATGCCGCCCACCTAGGGTTGGTCTTTCAACACCAAGGTCAATTAATATAGTTAAGATAATCCCTCACAGACATTTTCAAAGTCCTTTACTCTGGTGATTCTATATTGTTTCAAGTTGGCAAAACTACAGCTATTAATACCATCTCCATTTCCCTCAGATCTTTATTATCTGGAAATGTAGGAAAAGTAAATAACATCCTAAAAAGACATCTGAAAATAACTCATCCAGGAACTTCATTTACCATGAACTACCTTGTTACCTGTAGCTTTGATACAGGTTTTAATTGCTCCCAGCCCCATGAGAGACCAGAGGCCACTTGATATGTTATATAGAAGGCTCTTTCTCACTAATGAATTTTAATTTTTTATTGACTTTTAAATTTGAGGCAGAAATTTCATGCCTGATAAAACTTGTGAGCTCATTGGCCCACTTTCTATAGACTCTGCAAAATGTCTTGGACAAAAAATCATGTGAGTTCTGGATATCTCTGCTTTACACTGGGAACCCAATATTGCCAAAACCACTTCTCTCATCTTCCCCATTTTAGAATTCAACTGAGAAGGTCCCCATACTCTAATCCTATCCACTCCGTCAATGGTAAAGGTCACTAGACATGATCCTAGGATTAATCACTCTCGAGTCAAATAGTGGGCCCTTGATCCACAGATCTCTCTGTCCATCTGAGAAACATCACCTAGACATACCCTATACCTATAAGCCTGCTGAGAGGACAGAGAACTGCTCAAGCATTAAACAGTAGGCAAGAGGAAGCCTTACTTCGGGGACTGATCTTTCTTCTTTTTCTGTCGTCCCTAATCCTTTATGAGCTCATGTGTTTCATCATAAATTCTATGCTTGCTCAGTTTCAATATACACCTCAAGTGGAAATATGTATTGGTAGCCTTTACCTGTGGATTTTGACTTGTGGCCTATTTACTTAGTGGATTTTACAGTTGATTGGTCACCTGATATGACTTGCCAACCCTTTCAAATAATGAGATTTTTTTCCCTTTCTAGAGGATCTATGGGAAAGAATGGGAAACTTCCTAGTCAACTCTTCTCACATTATAGCAGCTGAAGAAAATCTCACTAATTATTGGATTTGTCATTCCTGACCTACATTACTTTCTCAGACATGCATTAGTCTTCAAACATGCTCTGTTTCAACAGAGGCTCTGCACGTGGCTCTAAATTCTTCATCTCTGAGACCTCATGCTAGACTTTCCTTTCTGGTAGAATAGAATAGTCCTCCTATTTGCCACCTACAATTAACCATTTACCCTCTAGACACCTTTAACTGTGCTGCTATTTCCTTAAACTACAGCAGAATCCATGGAATTTATGCTGGTAGTATAGGCCGTCTAGGCTCTTGCTGCCCTGAGCAACTTAAGCTCTCATGGCATTCTCTTTATCTCAGAATATGACACAGTTGAAATGTATAAATAAAAGTAATACATAGAGTTGTCATGAATATAACTTGCCTTAATTTTCCCTATGGAGATGCAAGTAAATGTTTTTTCACCACAGACAGGCATCCTAAGCAGACCAAAGTAAGATTATACCAAAATCCAAGCTGCTGAACCAGTGAGTTTATTCGAGTTGTTTACAGAGAGCAGTTGAGTGGTCACTTACAGGAGCATGGGTTATCCCAAAACAACTGCATCACTACTGCAAAGTTTCATCCCATCTTGTATGATGATTTCATGGAAGTTGCATCATGGTGCCCCCCCTTCAGTTAACCTTTCACTTCCTATATCTTCTAGCATCTCCCAAGTTCATTTTCAACTGGAAAGAACAGAAGGAAATAATATATGGGGAATCCTGGGTCTTCTGAACCTCTTCTCCTCTGTTTACTAGTGCATGTCAGTAGCTCAATTATCATTGTCATAGATCTGGCTGTGTGGTTCTGCTAAGTAGTGGCTAAAGCTACTTGGCTAAGGTAAAAATGTCATACAACAAACCACTTACTCCAGAAGATTGATTTAATTTTTTAATTAAAATATAACCTCCTATGGTTACATCAGGATATATACTCACATCTAAGAATTTAGAGCTAAGATCCACAAATGACAGAGAACACAAGTTGCTTGTTTTTCTGAGTCTGAGTTACCTCACTTACTATATAGCATTTTCTATTTCCATCTATTTACCTTCACATTTCATGATTTCATTTTTCTTTAGTGCAGAGTAGAACTCCATTGTGCAAATTTACATTTTCATTATCTATTCATCAATTGAGGGACATTTACATTGTTTCAGTTTCCTGGCTATTGTGAAAATAGCAGCAATAAACACGGTTGAGCAGGTATCTCTATAGTAGAATATTGAATTGTCTGTGGGTATATATCAAGGAGTGGTATGTCTGGATCATATTATAGATGTAAATTTTAGGTTTTAAGAGCTCTCCCCACTGATTTCCATGGCCTGTGAGGTGCCCAGCCCTAAGTGAAACATCTACAATGCAACATCTACCCTTAAGGCTCAAGGAACATCATGGAAGAGGGGGTGGAAAGAATATAAGATCCAGAGGAACAAGACACCTGCTAGTTAATTCATTCTAGACATGATAGGGAATCTACACCAATGAAATCACCACAGTATGGCAATCTAACAAGATCTACATAATGATAAAACAATTTGACATGCCAAGGTGGATGAGGGAAATTTCACAGGATCCCACCTCAAGATAAGGAGCTTGTACAAAAGCTTTTTAATGTCATTTATGACATTTCATGTAATTTACAGATGTCCCATCTGTAAATTATTGACCTAATCTCCTGCTCTATTAGAGACCTTTTAAGAGTCCTTGCCTCTGCTTATACCTTGAAAATTTTGTGTTTCCCTCTAGCAGCATCAGAGAGTCAATGTCTTTTATTAAGTTTTTGATCTTGTTTGAGTTGATTTTTGTCCAAAGTGAGTCAGAGATCTACTTGAAATCTTTAAATCTTTTTATATTTTCCCTGCACTATCTCTTAACCAGTCTGAATATATGTGTATATGTATATATATACACATATGTTAATATGTATTAATTCTTTGAGAATTTCATGCATTGTGTTTTAATCACACTCACTCCCTCTCCTCTACTCCACCCAGAACCAACACTTCCACCTCCCACCCAACTTAATGTTCTTTCTTTACTGTTTTTTAAAAATTTTATTTATTTATTTTATTTTATGTGTATATGTGTATTGCCTGCATGTAGGTAAATGCACCCACGTCATGCAATGCCTGTGTCAGAAGAGGCTGTAGGAACCCCTGGGACTGGAGTTACAGACAGTTGTTAGCTGCCATGTGGCTGCTGGGATTCAAACATGGGTCCTCTGCAAGAACAACCAGTGTTCTTAACCCCCGAGCCATCTCTCCAGACCTTTTTTTTTTTTTTTTTAAAGCCCATTGAATCCAATTTGTGTTCCCAAGTACTCATGGGTATGGAGTGTGGTCAACCTACCAGAGGTCACTCCCATAAAGAAAATTGACTATTTCTCTCCTAACAGGTGTCAATTAATAATAACTCCTCAGCCAGGAGCGGGGACTCCTGTCCTCCCCACCCCCATGCTTGGATTTTTTCTAAATTGAACTTTCAAGGTCTTGTATATGCTGTCACAATTGCTGTGAGTTCATTTTTGCAACTGCCCTGCTATTTGGAAAACACTCTTAAGTCCTCTAGTTAAGGCACTGAGCACCGAATTAAATGAAAGTGAAAAGATTTGGAGCCTTTCTTTTATTCTTGATTTCAGAGGACATGACATTTTATCCATTTACTTTGGCTTGTCAACTGGATTTTTGTCATTGTGCAGATCTTGTTAGACTACCACACTGTGGAGATTTCATGGCTGCAGCTTCCTATCCTGTCTAGAATGCGTTACCTATCAGTAAGTGTCTCATCCCTCTGACTTTTACATTCCTTCCACCCCCTTTCCAGGAAGTTCCTTGAGACTTAGGTGTAGAGGTTGTATTGTAACTGCTTCACTTAGAGCTGGGCATCTCACAGTGGCTTATTGTCTATGTTCAACCAGTTATGGAACTTTGTATCAGTCTCCAACTGCTGCAAAAAGAAGCTTTACTTTGATGAGTGGTGAGAGGGGTACTTGCACATTGTATTCTCTCAATGGTAGTTCCCCTGTAACACTGGGAGAATATATTGTGAACCCAAAGCTGAAGACCTAGCAAAGATATAATTCTAATTATGCTGCGTTCAAAGTAGTATCACAAAATGTATGAGAACCAAGCCAACAAAATCTAAATCTAGTACAAAGAACACATTGGACAATCAGACCTACGAAGGCATCAGACATTAACATTAGGACTTGGTCTATGAACACACTGGGAATGATTTTCCTCAGTTATTAAACAATATAACCATACATGTTTTTCATTTAGTGATCTTTTATGAATTATTGCATAGATTATAAATCTGATATATTTACAAAGCATAATAAAGAAAATCAGTATCACACACACTCCTATTATCTAAAAATAACAGACTTCTCCATCCAGATTTATATAAATGTAATTCAAACAGATGTTTTTTTAACAAAGTACCAATTATCTGTTTATGGCTATCACAGATTATCTCTGTATCTATCATCTATGATATATCTCTGTTAACATTTACATATTGATCATGGCTAGTTAAATATTACAATTATTCATAATTTCTCCTTTCTACCTTTATGTTTCTAATTTTAGGTTCATTGAAACATGTTATTTTTAGTAAAAATAGGCCTATGGACATAAAAGGAGCAAATACCAATAAAACTCCTTTAATATTGTTAAAGGTAGAACTAGAAGAATTCATAAATAATGAACTCATGCAAGTTACAAACGTCATAAATTGTCAGACAGAAAATAAAGAAAAATGTGATGGTGTAAAAATAGCACAGTGTTACTGTGAACATAAACTACAAATTTTAAAGAAAACTGTAAGACCCAAATCTAAGAAGAAAGCAAAAAAAGAATGCATAAAATATATGTGCTATCGACTAATAAACTCAAAATATTAATGTCATAGGTAATATGCATATATTTTTAGAAAAGGGCGCTTCTGTAACAAGTACACTATTGGAAATAACAGCACTGAGTGATTTAAGATCGGGATAAGATGGATACTAATTCACCATCAAGTTATTAATTCCACTTCACGTAAGGAAATTTACAAGGTCTGCAAGGAATTTGCCAACTTTCTCCCCATTAGAATTTCCTCTAAATTAGTTTCAACCCTTTTCTCTATGTACTGGTAACAGGGAACATTTACATCCTGAGATGCCCTCTGCCCCCTCCGTGGGCACTGCTCACTTTCTCATGCTGGAACTCCCTTGCTCTTTCCCTTGCACTCAGTTTACTCAGTCTAAACCATCTTAACCTCAGTGCCACCTTCTCTACTCTTCTCTGCCAAGGAAGCACATTTTAGATACAAATATCTAAGTCGTTGATTACTATTTGCGTTTACTAGAATTAGTAATCACTAACACTGCATGTATAAGGATTTAGTGAATGATCTATTATATGGTGCCTTCTGCAGTAGTATACATTTAACATGTCAGAGTTAGTGATCAAAACATTTGTTGGATAAAGTGTTAATACTCATGCTTCACAATCTTAGCCAGATTAAACATAAACTGAGCCAAACTAAATATAAGCAACATGATAAAGATAAATATATTATTGTATTTGTGCAAAATGAGCTATTGTAGATCTCAAAATTTATTATTTATTTATATTTATTTATTATGGATCTGCCCATTCTAGACATATTACTTCAAAATACAAAGTATTGACCTGAAAACCTCATATAGAAAATGAGGTAAGCCTTTCTATATACAACTATTCTATCTATCAGATCATAAGTAAAAGACCAGTGCATTATTGTCAGTTTTCAGCTAAAACATTCATTTCAAATATTAAGCTGATTATAAAAGTTCTATTTAGGAGATGAGGAATTTGATCAGTGGGTAAAAACATTTGCCATGCAAGTGTGAAGATTTAAGTTTAAATCCCCAGAACAAAAGTAAAAGCGAGACACATAGTGCAAAACCCATAATCACAGGATTCCTACTGAGGGAAGGGAGGCAGAGGGATGAGGAGGAGGTCCATGAGTCAGCTGGCCTGGTGTATGCAGTTTTACAAACAACAAAGACATCCTGTCTGTGGCAAACAAGGCAAAAGGTGAGGACCAACACCTGAGGTTATTTTCTTATCTCCACATATGCACTAAGACACGTGCAAATCTGTATTTACACACCTGAATTCATATACACACATACCACTCCAATTAATTCTATTTAAAAACCAATGGTTCATATATGCCTGTGAATAAAAGTTTCTGAACATGAATGTGCATGCGTGCATATGGTTTTCAAATCCTGCCAGAACATTTCCTGTTTCACACAGATCCTGTCCTTGGTGCATTCTTTTGTACTTTGGTCAGACACCGTATTACATCCTTTGGATGCGGTCCTCATTTGAATCTTTCCTCAACTACAGCTGGTCTATGAATGCTGCATTTCAAATCACTGAATTTGAAGATTATGAGGACTCATTTAATCAGTGCTCTCATCTTTTGTTCCCCAGATAGACTGTTCCTCTCACTCTCTTTCACAGAGCTGTATTCACTGTTATGACCATGGCTAGTACACCAAAAAGAGCTTTTAGATGAAATGGATGAAAATAACAGTAACTTTGTAAGAAGCAAAAATGCACAACAGAAGCATCTCTTTCTCCCAGTTCCACGTTCTGAATGTCAAGGTTGAGCATAACTTTGTGTCTTGGTTTCTCTTTCTTTGGATCTTTCTGGGGAAAGGGTATCAGCACTCCGGAGAAGCCAGTGAGTCACAATGTAAACTTATTTCAGACGTTTATTCTTGCCATAAATGTTTTTACATGGAATAATCTATGGTTGATGTTTTTCCTCTGCTAAATGTGTGGGAATATGTTGCAGAGTCAAGAGGCTGACTGAAGCACTGAGTTTGCACATCTAATCAAAACCCCATCAAAGAGTGGGATTTTCAGGGATTCATTCAATACAGTTGCAGAAGATTTCAATAATGTTCCATAATTCGGTGAAGGACCTTCCAAGATAACTTAGTGGGTAAAAGTGCTGGTTGTGCAAGATGTATGACCTGAGTTCAATTTATGGAAACCATGTAAAAAGATGTCACCATGCATCTGTAATTCCAGCACAACTACAGTGAGATGGGGGCGTAGAAACAGGTGAACTTCCAGGAAGCTTTGGATCCAGCTAAGCTGGAGCATCTGATTGGCACAAACAAAAGACGACCCTATCTTAATAAGGTAGAGGGGGAGAACTGACTCCCAAGCTGTCCTCTGACCTTCACTCAGGAGTCATAGCTTGTACAGCCCATGATCATGTCACAAACGAGAGAGAGAGAGAGAGAGAGAGAGAGAGAGAGAGAGAGAGAGACTACAAATAATAATTCGAAAATATATATAACAATTCTAAAACACAAGGAAGAACATAGTACCAGTGAAAAGGGGCTTCTGGGATTTCCTCACTGGATTATTCCAGATCATCCATTTCTGTGCCAGACTGGCATGTGGCTCTGAGAACTTTTCCTCTTTCACAGAATTGTTGAAGTATTCTCACAGAGGCTTGCTTCAGCTGGTTGTTTGTTAGAATTAGGATGAAAGAGTGACAGAAGGGGTATGTGGATGCAGTTGTCAATCCAAAAATAAATAGCAGTTTGTTTTCTGGGACAAATAAGCAAAAAATTTCTAGCACAATACCTATAAAATAAAAGATGAAAAGGATGATGAAAGAAATTAAAACTTTAATGGCCTTCACGTGAGCTTCGGTCTTGAGATCTCTGCATCCTGAGACACTCGACTGCATCTGCTTGTTGTGTCTCCAAAGAGAAATGATTAAAAGGAAACATGTAATTAGGGCCATTATAGAGAGGGAAATGACTCCAATATTGACAGAAACATAGTCAATAAATAACTTACTTTTTCCCAGATAGCTCACCTAGGTTGTATTTCTACGCTTCATTTTACTATTTTTAATCATCTTTATAACGAATGGAAAAGATGTTAGCCATGAGATAAGCAAGCACCCCATCAGAAAGATAAAAACTTTATCAGTTCTCCTCTTCAACCAGAGAAATATGTAGTGGGAAAAGTTCGCTATCTTCAGGAAATAGAAAGTGTTGAGGATGGTGGCAAACCAGACACTCAGGTGGTTTGTAGTTATCCATGCATAACTGATGTATCCAATTAGATTGCCAGAGGCAAGCAAAGTCGGAAAGAAGATCTTTATATATGCATCTACAATTAAAATCCATATGAGAAAAAATCTGGAAATTGCCAAGCCAATCAGAATAAAACCAATCTTAGAGAGCTTCTTATTCTTGAACCAGTTAATGCAGTTCACAAGACTGATAAATCCATTCCCTAAAATCCCCAGCACTGATTCAATCATTGCAACACACAGGAGCATGCCTTCTGCTACACTTAGCATATATGCCGGTCCCCAGGATGGCTTCTGCTATAAGAACTGTGGATTATCCGCTACGGAGTATCTCATGCATTGACAGCTTCATAGAGGAGTGATTTTATTTTCTTTCTTTTAATAAAGACCAGATTACCTCAAGAAGGCCTTGTGGTAGAATCCAAAACATCTCCCTAGAGTCCCCTCCACTTGCTTCTGTAAGACTTAGCTTGTCTAGAGAATGTGCTTTCAGACCAAATGCCTTTTTGCAATTTGTTAGTAAGCAAATGAGTTTCCATTTCATGGATTTCACTTGTCCCTCTGAGACTATTTTGCATTTAATAAACTGAGTTGTGAAATGTGAGTGTCAGATATATGTGGACAGGATACAAAATACAAAATTTAACACTGTATTTCATGATTAAGAAATCAGTCTCTGGTCACAGTCCACATGCTTATAGTCAAAGCTCTTTTGTAGGCTGAGACAGGGGTACCACTTGAGCCCAGGGGTTTGAGATCAACCTATATAACACAGAATCAGCTTTCTTCTGAAAAAAGTCCCATAAATCAAAAAAAAAAAAACAAAAAAAAAAACAAAAAGGAAGATCAAAACATGAAAATCATTATTATTATCATTGTTTATAAACACTGCTCAAGACCAATGAGATGACTCAGTGGGTAAAGGTGCTTTCCCCCAATGCTGACAACTTGAGTTTGTTCCCTGAGTCCCATGTGGTAGAAGAAGAGAACCAGCTCTTGCAAATTGTCCTCTGACCTCCACATGTGCAGTGTTGCACCCTTGTGCCTACCCCACATATACACACAATAAATAAATAAATTTAAAAATAAGTAAAAGATAAACAGTTTAAATGTGTAAGTAAAGATGGTATATAGAACTATCATGCATTTAAGCTTATTAGTTTTTTCTGGGCAGATAAAAGCACAAATTAAGAGGGATGAAGTAATAAGAGCAAAGCATAGTCCGTATTATAAAAACACATTTGTACCTTTTGCTGTAGGAAAGAAAGTGCATGCATATACTGTTAATGCTTGGTTTGTTCTGAGTTAAACTTCTATCTAGTTCTTATCCAAATCGCTGGCTCAGGAGGAATGCAAGTCTCAGAAGCCTTGGTGTTCAGAAACTCTCACACTGCTGCAGGGAGGAAAATGTAAGCAAAGAAACTATTAACACCACAAATCTAGAGACAAAGCTGGCCACCTGACCTAAGAGGCAAGCCTAAACTTGGGAATGATTGCTTTTGGTTTCTCTTTCTGCGTAATCTTCTGGCAAATGATGAAGTGAAAGACAATCCTCCCTTCTCAGGCTGCTTAGTTTTAAAATGAAATGCAGCTTAAAGATTCAATTCCTAGTTTGTGTCTATGTGATGGGTAGCAGAGTCACTTACAAAACTGGAGTTAAGGTCAGAACCGGCAACGGTAGGCCTAAAAGCCAGGCTAGGCCACCTGTCCTCAATAGTCCAATTAAAAGAGCTAAGTTGATAACAAAAAGCAGAAAAAGAAAATTTACTGAATGTGGTCACATTGGGAAGAGGAAAAAAGGCAACCAGGAATCCCAGCTCCCTCCCCTGCCCCTCTACTTCCCAACACATTTAGAGTCCAACTAATCTTCAGGATCTTAAAATGAGAAAAAGATTTAATGTTTTTAAAATATTTTCTTAATTTTTATTTTATGCATATAGGTGTATTGCCTCCATGTATGTAAGTGCATCCACATCGTGCAATGCCCGCAGAGGTCAGAAGAGGGAATTGTATCCCCTGGAACTGGAATTATGGATGGTTGTTAGCCGCCATGTGGGTGCTGGGATTCGAACCTGGGTCCTTTGCAAGAGCAGCTAGTGATCTTAACCCCTGAGTCATCTCTGCTGTGCAAGTACAAGATTTAAATCCAAGGAAAGCTAATATGACTAAGCAGACTTGCGAAGGTGTTGTCCTCCATCCACTGTTGATTCTACTTCATCTCTCTTGGTACATCCTCTAAGAACTTCCAGTTTGGCCTTAGTTGAAACCTTAAAAGCTTAGGGAAACACTTCAGCTTTCTGAGGATGACTCTATGTGTGGAGTTTGCCTATGTCCCCTCATCCCTCACATTTCTGAGGGCTTATGCCAAGATCCTTCTTGAAACACTGTGAGATTCTGTCTCTCACTTAGGTGACTAACCCTGCTAAGCATGGCTTGTATGTTACCTCAGGTTTTTGTACTTGTGTTTTCTGGCCAGAGATCCACTTAGTGATTGATAAGTATCTCTGACAAAAAAAACCAAAACCCTCCTAAACGCAACCAGATTCTGTTCCTGGGTTAGGTGGAACAGTGCATGGCTTTTCTTGGAGATGTGATCATTATACCTGATCCCTCAGATGTGTTAAGCCACTCTCTTGCCTCCAAGAGAGCAGCCTAAAACACACTGAGAAAACTGCTTCCCTATAGCTGATATTCTGGATCCCATGCAGCCTATACCTGTTCCCAACCCTCTCTTAACCCGGAGTCTTCACAGCCTTGCTTCTTTTTTTTGTTGTTTGTTTGTTTTATTCAGTCTTTTTGAGACAGGGTCTCCCTGTAGCCCCAGCTGGCCTGGAACTCACTATGTAGACCAGGCTGGCCTTGAACTCACAGAGATCCACCTGCCTCTGCCTTCCAAGAGCTGGGATTAAAGGCGTGTGCCACCACACCCTGCCACAGCCTTGCTTCTTTACTTTCCTGTGTGTCTACTTTCTGAACATCACTTATTGCTTAAGTGAGGGGAATTCTGCCTGCTTCCTTCACCTTGATGTTCTGAGGAAGGGCTTGACCTCACTAACTTTTAAAGTCAAAATAGCTAAATCAGTCCTCTATCAGAAGTGTAGCTGGGAAAGACTCTCTTCCACTCTGTGGGCTTCCTCTTCACTTGATTGTTTTCTTTGTCGTATAGAACCTTTTTAGCTTTATGTGGTCCCAATTGTCATCTGTTGGCCTTCATTCCTGAGTAAATGGAGTCCTATTCAAAATGCCTTTCCTATACCTGTGTCTTGTAGGATACTGCCTATATCTTTTTCTGGAAGTTTCAACATTTTAAGTTTTACAGTGTGGTCTTTGATTCTTTTGGGGTTGATTTTTGTGCAGGGTGTTAGCTGTATATCTAATTTCATTCTTCTAATTGTGCATATTCAGTTTTTCCAGCATCACTTGTTGAAGATGCTGTCTTTCCTCTCGTATGTATTTTTGGCATCTTTATCAAACTTGAGATGGATGAAATTTTGTTTGCTAATATTTGGGTTTTCTATTGTATTACATTCATTTTCATGTCTGTGTTATGCCAGGGCTGTTTTTGTTACGACAACTCGGTTAGATAGCTTGAAATCTTGTAGGGTATTCTTTCTAGCATTGTTGATTTCACTCAGGATTGCTTTGAAAATCTGGGGCCTTTAGTGCTTCCATTGGAAATTAAACATTTTTCCAATTTCTGGATATTACAATATTTCTGTCCCCTCTTCCACAATTATCCTTGAGTCTTGGAAGGCAGGATGTGATATCGCTGGACCAAGCACAAAATAGTTTCTTATTTTCTTCCAATTGGCCAGTTGTGGGTCTCTGTGTTAATCACCATCTATGTCACATAGAAGCTTCTCTGGTGCAAGGTGAGAGATGCATTAGTCTATGGAAATGACAATAAACCGTTAGGAGTTGGTTTAATACTGTGTGCACTTAGCAGGATGATAGTAGTCAGCTTTCCTTTATAGCATATGGCTTGTCTGGCAACAGGTCCTTGGTCCTGATAACAGTGACAGGTATGGGCTTCATCTTGTAGAGCAGGTCCTAATTCCAGACAGAAGTGGTTGTTTACTCTGCTAACATTTGTGTCACTCTTTAACCAGTGGGCATGTCTTACCAGGCCAGTCATTCCTACTTCTCCCATGGTTCACAGCTGGGTAAGGTAGATGATTACTTTTATTTTATGTTAGTATGAATAGCACCATCCAACACTTTGAAAGCTAGGCTGTAGAGATGAAGGTTCAAGGTCAGTACCAGCTGATTCTGCTGTTTGTCTATGACTCACATATGTAGTGTTTTTAACAGTAGGGTCTTAATATCAGTTCTTGTAGGTAACCAAAAGCAATGCAAATAGCTGGTGTTATTTGAGGAACAATAGGACACCCATGGTCAAGTGCTTCAAAAGAGAAAATCCATTCCTGGAACGAGGCCATTTATTCACTAGTCTGTGGTTCTGGTAGGGGCATGGTCCCCCTGTTACAAGGACAACTCCATTGAAGCTTATTTTTAATATGCATATATATTTCAGAGACCTCTATAGTATGTTTCCATGTGACAGTTTCAAAAGGCCTTTAGTGTTAATTATCCCTCTCCATACTCCTTCCTCTACCTTGTGCTTCCATTCCCCATCCTAATTAACTGTTTCCATTATGCCCTCTTCCCTTTAATATCACTGTATCCTCTTTCCCCACTCATGAAGCCTCCTGCCCCATGGTCAAACAAATCACTATGTGCCTTTCGGGGTTTATCATTAATCTTTTACTAAGTATTTAGATTGGGGTAAAGGACTTGTACTGTGCACTGTTATTAATGAGAAAAGAGAAAATATCAGGCATGAAAAAAAATCTGTTCTATTTTTGGTTTGATGTCTACTTTATCAGATATAATAAGAACTACCATCGCTTATTTGTCTGTTTTGACTTCCATTTACTTGATAAATTGACTTCCATCCTTTGACTGTCAATCTTTGGGGGTTTTTTTTTGTTTTTGTTTTGTTTCTGTTTTGTTTCCAATGAAGTATTCCTTGTTGCTGACAGAGAGTTGAATTGGATTTTACTTTTTGATTCATTCAGCTAGTCTGTGTTTTTTATTGAAAAACTGAAGCCACTTATATTTATTGCTATTATGAAGGACATTAACCAATTTCTGCAGTTTGTTGATTGTTTTTATGATTAATTTTCCTTGATTTTGATTTTTTTTCTCTGTCCTCTCTAGTTATCATAGGTTTGCGGGTTTATCTTGTTTGATATAAACTTTCTTCTTAG